TAAATTTGGTATGGGTCTGGATCTCGGAATGATGACTCATCGGCGGTGAGTCAGCGCTCGAACAATCGAGAGTGGTGTGGAGCTCGCTGGAATGTTCGAGAAGACGATTGCGTGACTAGTATCACGTAGGCACTGAATATATAAGGAACAGGGCAGCATGGAGCAGTAAGTCAAGCTTTAGTACTCGTGACGAAATATATAAATAAACGTGCAAATAAATAGACTCTTGTACAGTAGTGATATATAAATAATTAGTAGTTAAGTGTTTAGTTTCTTAGTGTTTTAAGCGTAATTAAGTTATAAAATAAATAGTTTAGTTCGTTAAATAACCAGTGCGTGTTGGTGTCCGGAGTGCGGTAAGTGTGAAACTTCGCAAAAATGGTTTCGTTATTGGACTTAAAAGTGGCGGGGAATATGAGAAAACTGGTAAAAAGAATGTGTTGCAGCAGCGGCTTTTAGAAGCGTTGGTGCAAGAAGGTAAAAATCCAGATGCGTATTTATTTAAAGGCCGAAAAAATGCCCATGGGGAAAAATCGTCTAAAGATGATCGTCTTTAGACGCGAATTCGTCCAATCGTCTTTCAAACGATCGTCTTTCAAACGATTGACTTTGAAACGATTCAATCGGTTGCGTAGGTTAGGCGGTCGGCTGAACAGACGAAATATATATTTGAAATTCTTCTCTATTATAATAAAGAATTTCAAATATACTTTGGAATATTTGGAATTGTCTATTATTCGAAGTAGGTAGGTATCGCCTTTAGAATTATTTTTTTAATTAATTTAATTAATAATTATGACAAAATAAAAATATTTTCTCATCAGTTAAGTTATAACTTAAAATTTTAATTAAAACGATCGTCTTTTTTCGACTATTATTTTAGACGATCGCCTTTTGTATCGTTTATCACTTTAAACGATCGTCTTTAGGGTCGGCTATTATTTTAGACGATTAAAGACGATCGTTTAAATAATTAAACGATTTTGTTTAAAAATAGACGATCTTCTTCAGACGATCGTCTTTTTTTTAAACGATTTTTTCCCATGGGTGTTAGAGAATTCTAACAATTCGAAACAGAATATTCTGAAAAATGTCAACGATTTAAAGGGCGATTTGCAACAGAAAATGCTGGAAAATTCTAGCGATTTACAACAGAAAATTCTGGAAAATTCTAAAAATTTAAAGGAATATTTGGAACATAAGATTGTAGATAATGTAAATAAATTAAAAGAGAAAGGGGGACAGGAAGACGACAAATTACATCCGTCAGTTTGAGGCAGCTGCAAAAGCAAATGGCTGGGTACCAGAGGAGAAGGCTACAGCATTAACTCTTGCTTTACGCGGAGATGCAACGGACATCTTGCAGACACTTTCTCCAAACGATCAAGAAGATTACGAAGCCTTGGTGAAACACCTGGAACTGCGATATGGCTACACATCTGGAACATGTCTACCATTCCAAACTGCCAGAAATCGAACGAGACCCTGCAAGAAAACCAGGCTGATATTGCAGGCTTGGTCCGGCTAGAATATCCAGCTACTCCAACGACCGTTATGGAACGATTAGCGGTTCAAGCCTTTTTGGATGGACTTCGGGACAACGAAACAAGACAGGCTCCGACATTGGCTCGTCCGAGCCAACTGGTTGATGCATTGGCCCGAGCTTTGGAATTCGAGCCAGCCTAGAATTAGGAGAGTCGGTCCAGTATACGAGGATCGTTCGGTAAGTACGTGGCCTAACTAAGAAAATGCAAATTTTTTTGGACAAAAAACATTTTATTTTTCAATTTAGTCTCCAGCTCCCTTAACACACTTATCCCAATGATATTCTAAATTAGCAATGCCTTCCTTGTAGGCCGATGAATCCAAGTCCTCGAAATAGCTATATAAAGCATTGTTTGGACTGTTATTTGGTTTTGGGGAGTACAATGGTGGACCCAGGTTTCATCGACGGTTATGAAACGACGCAAAAACTTCTTTGGATCGTGGCGAAAATGTCTCAAAAGGTCGCGAGACACACTCAAACGATTCAGTTTTTGCTCCGGTGCACCGCGGTGCAAGCAATCGCGGCACCCAACGCGCCAAGTATTTTTTCATTTCCAATTCTTCGGTTAAAATTCTGTGCACACTGTCATTTGAGATACCCATTATGTCTGCTATCTTGCGCACTTTTACTCGACGGTCATTCAATACGATATGGTGCACTTTTTCAATAATATCCAGGAGAGTAGCCGTTTTTGGACGTCCGGACGCGTCCCCTACGGGGTTCATCATTTGTACTCGTACGATCACGTTTAAATTCGGCAACCCAGTTTTTAACCATTAAAAACGAAGAAGCGGACTCAAATAGTGTTAAATCCAGCTCTGCTTTAATTTCGGTTGGTGTTAAGCCTTTTAAATTGAAGTACTTTATCAGTGCTTGCAAAAACAGACTAATTGACAGATCACTTTGTAGTATTATACAAAGATAATATATTATATTTAACCTATTAAAAGATGATTTCATAAAATGGTAAAGAAGATTCTTCCAAATTCGCGCCATTTATGTGCTAGGCCACGTAGTGGCGATCTAAGTAAGGCATTTGACTGTGTGTCACATGCACTACTTCTACGAAAGCTCAAGTGTTATAAATTTAGTTATAAAAGTTTGCAAATATTAGAATGCTATCTTACTAAAAGATATCAGGTTTGTAGAGTGAATGGACTGTTATCGGGTAGAGAAGAAATTACTGTGGGGGTACCCCAGGGATCCGTTTTGGGCCCTTTACTTTTCTTAATTTTTATAAATGACCTGCCATACAGTAATGACAAAGTTACCTTTACTTTGTTTGCTGATGATACAACTATATCTGTATCAAACAAAAATATTGAGCTTTTGGAGATAAGTGCGTGTGACGCACTGACAAATGCCGAGAAATGGTTTCTTTCAAACAACCTAGTCTTAAATAAAGATAAGACTAATAAGATCGTGTTTACTTTGAGAAATAATAATATTGCAACTCAAAAGGCGGTAAAGTTTTTGGGCGTATTCATAGACGATAAACTAAAATGGGATAAACATGTCGAGTTTCTCTCTAAAAAATTGTCAACAAATATATTTGTAATAAGAAACTTGAAAGCAGTTGTGTCTCGGGAGGTTCTGTTGTCTTGTTACCATGCACTTTTCCACTCAATCATGACATATTCTCTTATAATATGGGGTCATGCAACCAGTTCAGGTATAATCTTTGCATTACAAAGGAAGGTGGTTAGAATTGTAGCTGGACTTGGATATAGGGATGATTGTAGGGCTGCCTTCAGGGATCTGGGAATACTCACATTCCCATCAGCATTTATTCTGCAAAATATCTTATATGTCAAAAAACATTTATCAAATTACAAAACACATACAACTGTTCACCAGCATCACACAAGAAACAAAGATGTGTGGTTTTCAAGACTGTCAAAAACTCAACATGGGCCAGAGTACCATGGAATAAAATTTTTCAATAAACTTTCAAATCAAAGAAAAAATTTAAGCTTTGATGAATTAAGATTGTTTCTTATAGAACGTTTGATTCGCAAAGCATATTACAGTACGGATGAGTTTTTGAGTGAGATTTGGGATTAGCTCATTGGCAGCTTTTATATTATAGGTTCATTTTATTTCATATGTCTATTCTATTTATAATTTATTTATACTTGTATCTACTAATCTTTATTTTCTCTGTATTGACGTTGTACACCTACTGGTTTAGCACTAATAAAGATTATTATTATTATTATTATTATTAGTTTCCGAACCATCCTCGTAATTGAAGAAATCAGGCGAGTTCTTAAAGAAAATCTACCAGAGAAGAGGGAAATCCGGTGTTGCAGATGTGGAAAGCTAGGACATATACAAAGTCGTTGCAGAGGATGCCAGGTGGCGTCGACTTCATATAGAAAAATAAATAGGGCTGAAGAAAAAGATGTGTATATTCGCTGGACTACAATCGTGGATGATCATTGTCAATCCACTGAGGTTCAACAAGACCAGGAAATTACTTTTTATTACAAATTTTGTTTGTTACTTTAGTTTTATAGTTCTTCTTAATATTATTCCCTATCTTAAACAAATATTTTTAGAAAACCTGCACCTGAGTGTATATATATATATATATATATATACGTATTTTAATTCTCACCCTTCTGTACCAACGCTGCTGCTACATGCACATTCTTTTTCCAGTTGTATCACATTCCCTTTCTTTCACCATTTTCGCGAAGATTTACACTAACCCCACACCTGACACCAATTGTAACGTTTTTTACGGTTCACAGTGTGAATTAAAACACGTACTGGTTTATTAATGAACTAAATAATTTATTTTATAACTTAATTACACTTAAAACACTAAGAAACTATAAAACTAAATAATCACTTAACTACTAATTATTTATGTATCACTACTGTACAAGAGTCTATTTATTTGCAAGTATATTTATTTTATTTTGTCGCGAGTACCAAAGCTTGACCGACTGACAGTGCCTACGTGACCCACGTCACGCAAGCACCTTCCCGAACATTCCAGCGAGCTCCACACCGCTTTAGATCGCTCGAGCGCCGACTCACCGGTTATAACTTATAACTCATCGGCGATGAGTCATCATTCCGAGTTTTAGAGCGGTACCCGCTACAGTATTAAGAAATCATTATGTTCTCTTTTTTAGGCAAGCATTTAGACTCTATAGGAAAGCATTCACAAAATTCGGTCTCTCGTAATAAGATTTATTTAATTACTTATTTGGGTTACTAGATTCTCACAACCCAAATAGTAAATTCAATAAAATAAGTATAATAATAACTTCAAGATAACGTAAAGTAAATAGCAAGGCAAAAGAACTTTGTTTTGGCGTTTATAGAAATTATAAGAATATCTTAAGTTTTGAATGGATTGTATACAATCCGTGTATACACTGTTTATTACAAATTTGATAAGCAGTATATAAAAACTATTAAGACTGCAAGCAATGCACCACGTGACCATGCTGTTCTTATTTAAAGAATGCCTGCCATATTATTGGAATCAGTCGATGTTTTCTAATCTAAACGATACAATTCTCCTGTAGTTTTTGTACTTTTCTGTGCATCAGCGTGTAAACATCGTCAAACCGGTATATCCACGCCGGTATTTAAAAACATTAATAGGACTTTAATGTTGTTTATGTTTTTGCTTTGCTTCCTAACACGTGAGTACCTACTTTATTGGCTTGTTTTTATTTTTATGATATACAACAACCTAGGTCAACCTACGTCGAATGTGTATTTTTAAATTTTACTCTATTTACAAAGCATGTTTTATGGCACCTATTTTAATAAAATCTAAAGGTAAATTTTTAACTTATTATACAGTGTGTTATGACTTATAACTTATTATACAAATAAACTAAATATTTAATAATTATAATTTAATTAGAGTAATTATAAATTATAATTAAAATATATTACACAAAATTCACCCTATATTTTATGAAATCTAAAATATCTAATGGAAAGCTGTAAAAGCAATTAATATTTTTATAGTGTTTTTTAAGTTCTTATGGAACTCAAAATTTTGTTATTATTAACAAATTATACAAAAAATTGTAAACGTCGCGCTGCGTCGTAAATTTTTCTTTTAATCAATGGAACGCCATTTTACTTTTTAATTGGATACGAAATATTCTCTCTTAAAATGAATTATTCAAAAATTACTAATTATAAGTCATATTTGACTAATGTCATAACTATTTAAAAGTGAAAACGACTATTTTATTAGTAAAAAATTCTGGTACTAATTCAAATAGTAGAATTTTGACTATTTCATTTTTAGATAGTTAAGTTAAATATTAATACTTAAATATTATTGGCACTTCAAAATAATACATTAAGTAGAATTATACATGCCAAATATAATTTAATATCCAAATGATAAAAATATTTAACAAGGGTTAGAAATTTATGAAAGCAATTTTTTTTTGTATCCAAGTCCTCATATGATAATACATAATGTTACATGAATATTGTCCACATAAATTTCATACAAAAATATTCTTTGTTTAATTTTTTAAATCAATATTAATGTTTCTACTTTATTTAATTTATTTTTTTGTTTAAAAACTACATTAAAATAAAAAAAGGCCTTAATAAAGCATAAATTCGAGTTGGGTTTATATTACATTTAAATTATTACTTACAAAATTTGTATAAATTACAGTTGATTAATTTTCAGTTATTTATTTTATTCAAGCTATATAAGTAATATATTATAATATATAGTTGATATATTCTTAGTGGCGAAGCGTCCGGGTAGACGAGGTAGAACCAATTTAAAGGTTTGAGTATTTTATTTTATACTTTAGTTATTTTAATAAACATGAAACATTAATTTAATTTTTGTTTAAAAAATTTTAATTAAATATTCTAACTTGCGTAACATTATTTTATTTAAGAAAACACTTGAAAAAGCATAGGGTAGTCAAATTCAAATTTTTCTCGCTAGAGAAATCATCAACCTATAACAATTGCCGAGATCTAGCGTAATCGAACGAATAACTAGCCGAGGTAGGTCGCTTTAGACAAAAGAGTACCAAATTGTATATTTAACTCTTTCCCTTGAAATTTAAATAAACTTTCAACCAAAGTTATTTAATTTTTTATAGTTTTTCTTTATTTTTAATTATTATATATTTTTATTTTTAGTTTGTTATTATGTTTTTTATATCCTAATTTATTATTTGATTAGAGTTTTGTTGATTTTATACCAGACTTTTTTTCATCTAACCGTATATTTGTCTACTTATATAAAAACTCCACAACCGAGGAAAAAGTACAAATTAGCGCTTCCAAAAGAATGCGCTAGAGGTAGCGATATTATCGATAGTCTATCGATAGTTTCGATATTATAAAAAATATCGGATTATCGATTCTATCGGTAGTTACAAACTATCGTCTAGCGATAGTAGAATCAAAAAAAATTATTATAACTACCTATCGTTGTTTTTTTATTCGGAATTTGACGTCATCAAAAATTTGGGGTTTTAGTTGGCAAAATCTAGGGACCCTAGGTTTACCAACGGTAAACTGTCTCAAATATGTGCTGTCAATTATTATATTGTTGATGTTTTAAAACTCGATAGTTATTATAGATTTTGATATAAAGGTTTTAATAACTAAGGTAGATATTTATATTGAAATACTATACCATGGAGCCTACACAAGGAGCCCGAACTTAATAGGGGAAAGGAAAATTCTTGTTTACATAAAGGTCGGACTCCTTGTGCTATAGGTACTATATTTTTGACTCTCCTGTATTTGGTAGATTGAAAATGTGCCTACTATAAAAATAAACCCCTTATTTTTTTAATAAATCATTGACTAAGGAATCACTCAACGATAAAATGTTATATTCGGTTTTGAATCGATAGTATCGATAGTCGCTTTTCTCACCATCGATGCTATCGATAGTCTACTTTTTACCACTATCGCTACCTCTAGAATGCGCCAAGTTGCATTTTCCGAGGAGCGAACGTTTTTTTACTTTGTCTCTCGCTGAGCGACAACGGTCGCTACGTAACTACCATGGAAATTATAATACCCATCTAATATCTAACATGAAAATTATAATAAATAAACGTCTAGAGAATCTGCGATTTTTGACACAAAAGTCAAATTTGAAGTTATCAATAATTAATAATTGTTACCAAATTTTTTTTTACCAAAATTTTTATAAAAACACCGGTTTATAAACGCGAATAATACTCTATTTTATATTATACCAGCATAATAAACTTAAAATAAATAAATTTAGTCAAATATATTGTTTTGGGTTTATCTGCGTTTGCTCAATATATATATAGTCTATTTTAAAAACTAATAATAACAATGTAAAATTAAAAAAATCTTCAATACAATATTCTAATTATTTTTAAATGGGATTATGATCGTAAAAATAAAAAAGTTTTATCCTAAACTTCTTAAATAAAATAAAAATGTATATTTCATGTTTTAAAGTTTTTTGCCCACGTGTAATATTCTGATAAAAACGACATTTTTTATTGACAACTAAATAGATTATAAATGTAGTACCTAGTTATCTATACAATAAAAAGAGTCACGAGTTCATAACAAATTTTTTAAATGAAAATGTAAACAGTATTTTAATTAGATTACAAAAAATAATTATTGCAAAACATTCGTTTGGAATTTAAATAATTTAAATATTTTATTTATTCACAAAAAATTAGTATTTTAACCAACCTTAACCTATTACAGTATAAAGGCGTTTTAATTAATTTAATCAAATGCGTATCGGAATTGTTTACCTATTGTTTATTTTTAAGATGTAGGTACACCAGTGGAAATTGATTATAGGTAGGTAATTATTTATAAAAATAGAAAAATAATTATAATTATTATTATTTATTATCTACGTATTTATTTAACTATAATAGTACACAAAACGATTATAAACAAATATATTTTGCTATGACATCTTTTAAACACCCATTATCGTACATATTTCCATGACACTAAGTGATCTTTTAAATACAATATTATTGACAAGCTGTAACTTTATGACGTTTTCGTGAAATTAGCAGCAGAGGTTTTCGGGCTGAAGGTAGCTTGAAGTTAGTTGTCAAATGTCATACAATCTTCAAAATAAAGTGCCCTTCTTGTGAAATATTACTTAAAAGTGGAAAATATTTTATTATCTTAATACAAAATTATTAAATAGTTTCTTGACGCCTATCTTAAAAAAAGTTTATTTGGAAGTTTGTACTACCTTTTGATTTCGCCGGCAAAAAACTAGAAGTTGCCAAGCTTTAATATTTTCGGGCGGATAACATTCTTTTCACTTTCCCTGTAGAAAACTGCTTCTTTTTTGGATTTAAACGGTTGTTAATTCAAAGAAGAAACTAAAAGGAAAATATGACAAACCGATACCGACATTTTAAAATCCGGCAAAACAGATTCCTAAAACAATTTTGGCCCCACGATTTTTGTATAGATGTTGTTCTATACAAATATTTTAATTGATTATTAAAAATATATATTTTTTTAAATAATGTTCGTCGTAGAAGTCCAGACACTAACTTTTATTAAACACTCGCTAGCTTCGCTTGGGCCTAATTAAATTTTGTGACTAAAATGGAGTCTATCAATCTTGATTCATATTATACCACTATTATCTTCAAGCGTTTTTTATTGCCAACACTCAATACCAAAAGTGATTTATAAAATTTATAAAAGAGAAAAAAAATAACAGTAGGATGAAACCCATTGGAAAAGGAGGGGAATATAATAAAAATTAAAGGAAAAATAAATTACGGGCGATCTGAGTTCGGGAAGTGGGAGGGGGGGGTTTTAAGGGTAAAAAATGGTTTATCTAGATTTCCGGCAAAACTACAAGTCCTATGGAAAAATGTTAAATGTCAAAGTTGTAGGTAATAAAAAGATCTACAACTTTTGTAATTACAATTTTTCACATAACCTCAAAATTTATGTGAAAAATTCATAATAATTATAATATTTTTTGCATTTTCTGAGAACATTTACCACAGTAATGTATATTTTTTTTACACCATCAGAAAGTAGAGATTTCAACAAACAAAAAGCACACCGACTTTTTGAAAAAATCTGATATTTTGACGCGAGAATTTTCGATTGAAAATTAGGGTGCTTTTTTGATATTAAGTCAAAATAAGGCGAAATAATAAATATTTTAAATCAAATAAATTACAGTGTATTTGGGACATAAAAAGGTAAGTTTTCACCAAATTTTGTGGAAAAATTTTTTTTTTTTTTTAAATATAAAAATAAAAAACCAAAAACTTGGTTTTTTGAATTTTTCACATAAATTTTGAGGTTATGTAAAAAAATTGTAATTACAAAAGTTGTAGATCCTTTTATTACCTACAACTTTGCCATTTAACTTTTTTCCATAGGACTTGTAGTTTTGCCGGAAATCGAGATAAACCATTTTTTACCCTTAAAACCCCCCCCTCCCACTTCCCGAAGTCAGATCACCCGTAATTTATTTTTCCTTTCATTTTTATTATATTCTTCTCCTTTTTCAATGGGTTTCATCCTACTGTTATTTTTTTTTGGTTTCAAAAACTATCGACCCTGGTCTAATATTTTTGTTAATTTGATGGGATTATTTTCGGATTCAGGGGACAATTTTACATAAGAATTGGCTGTTAAATTTTGGTTAACCATGATACAAGTGAAAAAGCAGCCACCAATAACTATTAAATTAGTTATTTTTCACTAATTAATTTTTAGAGAGTATACAATTAAAATATTTTATATATCAAGAATTTTTTCAAAGATGAAAATGTTTTCGTCTATAGAAGTGGCGCCCTCACTGCACACGGTATATTGTGGAGGCTTTAAAATAAATCAAGCACAAGCAAACTTATTTCACACAATTAAAATCTTTTATATATCAATAATATTTTTAATCAAAGATGAAAATTTATATATTGGCCCAAACGGCGCCTCATAATTGGGCGTTATGGATGAAGGAGTAAACCAAATATTAACCGAGTGGGGATTTTCTTCATTAGAAAATACTTTTAAAGGTACCAAAATAATTTTTGTTCAAAAAAATCAAACAATATTAACCTAAACCTACACAATATTGTTAATGCAACTCTTTTTATTAATTAGTATTACGTACTGAAAGACTCGGTTAATATTTGGTTTACTCCTTCATCCATAACGCCCAATGCACAAAAATTAATTAATATTGTGTAGGCATAGGTTAATATTGTTTAAGTTCTTTTAACAAAAATTATTTTTTGGTGATTAAAAGAACTACCAAATGTTATAACAACAAAGCAACAATGTTGTAGTTACTCATTACCATAGCTTTTCCAACAAATTATTTGGTTTTAAAAACAAATAGATTTATAATGAAAACAAATGCAAAAAGTTATAGAAACAAATAAATTATTACCTAAAACAAATGTAAACTGTTTTAACAACAAAATATGATTGTATATGATATATCAATAATATTAGTTACTTTAAACAAGACGCCATAGTTTTGTCAACAAAAAATATTAGTTACAGTAACCTAAAACAAAACAAAAAAATTTGTTGTTGTAATAAAGATTTTAGTTGAGGCTATAGCTACAAATAAAATTTGTTGGCGCAACTTTTTTTTAGTTGCTTAAACAAATTATTTTTTTCAGTGTCTAAACATGGTTTTTGGAATAATGAAGACCATATTTTATTTAGTATTTTAAATGGATTTCATACATGTGGCAGATATTTTGGTTTTTGACGTATTATATATAATATTATTTTTTATGTAACTAGTATTAAAAGTTAACATACCTTTTTATATACATATGTACAGGTATACCTTTAAAAAAATTGGCTATTTTTTTGACAACACAAAGTGCCACTCTATATTTTCTTTACTACATGCTACATCTCAAAATTTGTTTAATTATAATTATATACTGTATACAGTACTAAATTCAATATACCCTACCTATTGGGTAAAATTTATTTTTGTTTAATATAGGTAAATATGGCAATTTAAATTTCCTGTTAGTACATTTTTAAATTATTGCCAAATTTAATTATTCGCTTTGCTAGTTAAATTAAGTTAAATAAAACGATATGGGATCTACAAATCGATACCTAAAAAAAAAAAACTTCTCAGAAGAGACAAAAAACTGTAATTTGTTTAATTTTACGAAATTATTTATTTTTATTACTGATTGTGTTAATGTACCTTTATAAAGGTTGATCCACACAATCACTAATAAAAAATAAACACTTCCCTAAAATTCAAGAAATTGCAGTTTCTATGGCTCTTCTGAAAAGTTTTTCTTTTGTGACTTATTTCAAATATTACTTTATTTAAATATTTTATTTTTAGGTTTTTTAATATGGGCCAGTTCAACTTGAGAATAACATCAATAGTATTTATATTGGTGACAGTATCGGACGCTGCAATAGTTTTTAAGGATTCAAAAGGTGGGAAAATATTTTTTATAAGCTCTACTTTTTTAGTACATAAGCCGACAAAATCAAAATAAACGAAATAATTTTTTTAGATGGTCCTTTTGTAACCGAAGAAGTCCACAAACGTCTTCTAGAAATACCATACAAACAAATCCTAAACAGTTTGAAGCTCACAAACGAAGATCTGCAACATGCAGTTAACTTCGCGAGCGGCTCTATCAAAAAAATGCATAGAATGGAAGAGAACTTGCATTCTGCAGATATTGGGGTAAAAGCCGGAACCCCAACTAAAGGAATTTACATTGTCAATTCTCCCAATAACATTTCTATTTCAAGGGCCAAAGATGCGTTGATTGTAAATAAAGCTACTGGATATTTGATTAGCGCAAATAGATTTAAGTAAGTATTGTGGATTTTTACACAAATTTGCTTGAATGTTACAATTTTATACTCACTTTAGGTCTTTTTTGACATGAATTTCTTAACTCTGCATTACCGCGCGCCGCTCACTTATGTATATGGGTGATTCTACAAAAGTTGGACAACTTTTGACCTCATTTTGTTTATATAGTTTTGGGAGAAAATTAAACAGTACCTGTTTTGTTATGAGAACATAGATAATATAATATACTGTTCCAGACCGGGCCAGTCACTTTTTCAAAGAGTTTCTGAAATATCTGTGTTTTCTAAATTTGAATGCAAGGGAAGTGACCAGTATACCAGGGTAATAATTAAATACATAATTTATTGGAAAATATAAGATTTATTTTAAGCATATTATATATTAAATATCTTAAAATCAAATAATACCACACATCAGTGTCGGCTGGTGGATTTTGGGTAGGTATACCGATATCTCAATTATTAGATATGGGACCCACACCAAATTTATTTGAGATATATGACATGAAATAAACAAGTTCTGCGCAAGCAGAATTTAAATTGAAGTTTGCGAAAAAAAGATAACTATTTGCTCGGCCGTACCGGCCCCATGGGGCCCCCAATAAATATAATATAAATTAAATTGGTGCAATTTATTATTTACCATAGTTTATCAACAAATTTCAAATTTCATTTAAAAAATCCAAATTATACAGATTTTATACCATTTTAAATTTTTAATATTTCTTTGAAAAGCCTCCTGTCCTTTATCCTTTTTTTTAAGTACCTCAATTATTCTTTTTCTTTATAGTTTGCTAATTTAATAGTCATTTTTAATTTTAATTAAACTTGTACACTATTTGTGATTAAAAGGTTCTGAGATAAAAATCATCAGTACCATGGTAATACGTCAGTTCTCTGTCGAAACATCAAACATGGAACTGACGACACGGTACTGATGAATGGGATACAAATTTGAGATTATAATTCGGAATTAAGTATTTTACATATCAACAAATCACATATAGCCTTATACATATAAATGACAACGAAATATATATACGTAAGAAAATAACTACTCATCACAGACTTGAAATTTTGACTGGAACTATACGTGCATTCACCAAAACTTCGCCGCTTGCATTGTTTTCAAGATGACTGTCGTGCAAAGGAAGGGCTCTGTAGGTAATTTTTTACCAACACTTATAAATTATATAGGTTAAAACGAGGACTTTACGTTTAAACTTCAATATTTCACGGGAATTTTGAATTTTAACATTGGACACAGAACTGACGGGTAAAAGTGAGCACAAAGATTATCAATTTTTTAAAAATTGCTATTATTCGAATCTATGATAAAATATGAAATAGTTTGTAGTGAAATTGAAAAATTTAAGATAAATTGAATATATTTCAAAATAAAATTACTCAAATATTTGATTCAGGAGTTGTGACACGCCAAGGTACTGATGTTTTGAATATTTTTTATGTTTTTCTACAAATGTGTTGTGAAAAAATTGGACAAGTTAAAAAAACCTGGATCTTTTGTAATATACTGAAATATTTACAAAAAATATTGAAATACCTACTCTATTGACTGATGACATCAAGCCCAACTTTTGTAGAATCACCCATATACTTTCTCCCTACAACTTGAGCTATAAGTAACGTGCTGATATGAGGGGGGTTTCATTTAAGTTAAAACTTTGCTTGTATAGGTAAATATTTACCTAATATTATTTAGATTTAGAAATAGTTATTTTTATTGATTGTACCTACGTGACAGATTTATCATATTGCTGCAAAGCGCTTTGACTTGGTCAAGGCTAGGTCACATAAATTACACATTTTTTATCTTATTGATATTGATCAATTACTATTACTCTATGTAAATTAATTGTTTTATAGAAAATTATTAAATGTAACAAAGAAAGTATTACTTTAATAATCATAAAGCAATTCCAAAATAACTAAAAAATTATGTTTTTGTTTATTTTCAGACATAATCTACCTTCCAATTCTTGGTCTCAAATATTTTCTGGTGTTGACTTTAAATCTCTACCAATAGGGGAATCCTGCAACCAAATAAATAAATTTTGTAATTGGAAGAAACGCATTTCCCCATACCGAACTTCAGATGGTTCCTGTAATAATGACAAGCATGGCTCAAGAGGTAAATATTAATTTTAATTAGTTAAGAATTTTGTTGTTGACTTTATTGTATAAATTGTGTAAAATATCGACTCATAAGAACTTAGCAATAATTAACTTTTTATAGATATGTAGACACACATAAGGATATTTTTTTTTAATTGCTTCCTTTATTCCTAAAAAAAAATATTCGGCATTATTCAAATAAATTTTGTTACGTCAAAAAAAAGATATCGCTTTTACATCCTAATCAGTATCTTTGATAAATAACATAATTTATGGTTAGTTCTACACACTAGGGACAAAAATTTGCGTGATTTAGGCTCGACATTTTATGTTAATATTTTAGCCATAGCCGTAGTGGATCAGTCAAGATATTTAAAAAATTACATATTTATATCCTTATGAAGACAATCAAGAGCCAGGAAACTGAGAATGGAGTGAGTTAAACGTTTATCGTTTATTACCGTTTATCTATACATATATGTATACATATATGTATCTATAGATAGATGTAATTTAGTCTACTTAAAGAATATAAAAAAAGATTAATTTTGTAATATATCCAAGTCAGGTGAGACCATACTGGTCTTTAACAGGAAACCTTAAATATTATATTATAATATAATTGTATTCTTTATTGTTAACAGCATATGTTGACAAAATAATAGAAAGCTATTTTTAAATGCACTTAAATCTAGTTTGACAAAAAAATTTCATTTTTTTTTGATCCTGAGAAAAAAATATTGAACATATTTAAATATTTCTAAAAAAACTTATATTTACAAAAATTAAAAAAATCAAGTATTTTGAATTTTAAAATGATCTACTTTTTTTTTTTTGGTTCGTAAGTAAATTCTTGCGAGGATACTGAGAACTTGACTGATCTTGATGTAACTTCCTCTACTAACCGTAATTAAACGACAAGGAAGATGCAAATAAAGTGGTGGTATTCTTTGTCTCTTTCATCGATACAAATTACTCTGCTTGTGTATTTTTAATTTACTAGGATACTGAGACATAATCCATGGGACAAAATCTATAGATTACTATAGTAAATTGATGTGATAATTTTATGCCTTTAGGACAATAAAAGTGAATAAATTTTAGTTTAGTTTGTGGCCCTAATGTAATAATAAATAAATAAAATGAACGTTTTAACTAGATTTTGTTTTTGGGCAAGCCAGGGTACTGAGAATTGGGCACAAGTATTTTTGACAAGAAAATAATTTTAGATATGACTTATTTTGTATTTTAATTTTAGCGTATAAAATTTTTCGTGATATAAGCTGAACCGCCGAAACTTCCCTAGTTTGTAGAACTAGTCATATATATCATAAACAAACTAGAAAATAAATGGATTTATATTACACTTTTAATTTAATAATAATTTTTAGGTGAATCCAATACGGTCTACAAACGAACTCTACCGGCCGATTATCTCGATGGTGTTAGTCAATTTAGAAGATCCGTTACAAAAAAACAGCTTCCATCAGCCAGGACTATAAGTAATTTTTTGATTAAAAATAAAAATGAAACTGCCTACGATTTGACGGCAGTTGTTGGACAATGGTGGCAGTTTATTGAACAGGATCTAAGTCAAACTGCTGCATCAGTAGCTGGTAAAAAATATTTTATAAATATATATAGAATTTGCAAAAGAAATATTTTTTAATGTTAATAACTCCAACAATTAAAATACTCCAAAAATTATGTATTTATTTTTTAAAATCTGAAACTGAAAAAATTAAATTGATAGGGTGGTGAAATAAAAAGTGTACCTATGTGCCTTACCTTTATATCCACACTATTAAAGTGAACCTTCTGAAAAAGATTATAGGAATTATGTTTTAGAGTAATGATTAGAGGTTTTGTTACAAATTAATATAAATTTTTTCAGTTACTGACTAGTTACTTTTTGTAGTTTAGGAAATTTTGAAAACTTTAAATTTTAAAGATTTTCGGATTTAAACAAATATTAAAGAATATTGTGAATAAATTAATGAAGAATCGTTCACATTTTAAAAATTACTAAAAAATAGATGTAGGTTATATATACAGGTTTAAACAAAAATATGTTTTTTACCATAAGTTTAAGACACTCTGTAGAGTGGCAAAACCGTATATTGTTCTAAATTAAGTTTTAATTATCACGTCACATCTATTTTTAACAGTCTTGTTTTTGGTTCACCTTGATATATTTCTTTTTGTGGAAAATAAGGATTAAAAAAAAAACATTGCAATTTCCAATATTTTTTCTTTACGGCTTATCCATGGCTATGAAGGATGACAGTGACAGTTCTGTTGAATCATCCCATACTTGGACATGTCCTATACGGCTTTCAAAAGCTATCAAATTGTTTTTTGTAAATTAATGTGTTAATTTTGAGGTGTCTTTTTACTTTTCAAAATGTATATGTCAGTCGGCGACTGATGTTGCCCTTTGTACTTTACTTCTTGAGACATTTAAAACACTTGCCACGTAATACTGTGACCATTCATCATGAATTAAATCAATGGCTCTGGCAACATCAGTCGAAGACATATCCGTTTTTAAAAGTAAGAAGACACCTTAAAAGTTAAACATTAATTTGCTAAAAAACAATTTGAAAGCTATTGAAAGCCGTATACGACATGTCCAAGTATGGGATGATTTAACAAAACTATCACTGTCATCCTCCATAGCCTATGGATGGACCATAGCAACCTTAGTTCTTTGTACACAAAAAATATTGGAAATTGCAATGTTTTTTAAAAAATCCATATTTTTTACAAAAATAAATATATTAAGTTGAACCAAAAACAAAACTGTTAAGAATATATGTGACTTGATAATTAAAACTTAATTTAGAACAATATACGGTTAAGCCACTCTACAGATTGTCTTAAACTTATCGTAAAAAACTTCTTTTTGTTTAAACCTGTATATTACAAACGTACATCTATTTTTTAGTATTTTTTTAAAATGTAAGCGATTTTCCATTAATTTATCTACAATATTCTTTAATATTCGTTTAAATCCGACATCCAATAAAAAAGTTATTTGCGATTGAAATTCATCGATAATTTGTGTGGATCGATTATTTTGCCTAACAAGATTTAAGAAAGTAGTGACACAAACACAGTTTAAAATATGCATATAAAAGATGCAATTAAAAGAAGGAAGCATAATATAGATTGTTAAGTGATAAAAAACAAAAACAATATTTTATTATGCACTTTGCAAATAACGTTGTTTTTATTTTCAATAATAAAATTATCACTCATAGGTCATTGGAATATTTATTGATTCTTATTTTTTAAATTTTAGTATCAACTGGTAAAGAGATTGAGTGTTGTGACGAAGGCTATAAATTATCACCCAGATATGAACATTCTTTTTGCGCACCTATTCAAATTTCTGAAGATGATTCATTTTATTCACAACAATACTTAAATTGTATGCCTTATATTAGATCTCTTCCTGGACTTAGACATGAATGCACCTTTGGGCCGAGAGAACAAGTAATAAAAACTGAATAATTTAATCCTTGTACTTATTTATCAATACTTTTTTAATAGGTTAATCAAGCAACTCACTATCTGGATGGATCCCAAATTTACGGATCAACAGAGGATCACCTAAACAACTTACGTTCCTTCAAAAACGGCAAATTAAAAGGTTTCATGTACAATAACACAGAGTTCTTGCAACTCTCCAAAGAACCTATAAACGACTGCCAGTTTAATTCGAATGACGAGAAGTGTTTTATTTCTGGAGACTCCAGAGTTAACTTTCATCCATACATGACTGTTCTACATTTGTTGTGGCATAGAGAACATAACAGAATTGCTGAAGAGTTGTCTAAAATAAATCCTGATTGGGATGATGAGACTTTGTTTCAAGAAACAAGAAGGATTGTTGTGGCTCAGATGCAGCACATTACTTATGATGAATACTTGCCAATCATTTTAGGTAAATAAATTACAACTAATGTTTTTATGCTATTATTCTGTTTGTCTTAATCGTCACGTTTAAAGCAAGAGTCATATCTCATTTTTCCATTCTGTTGTTTTAAGTTGGGAGTCTCTTGTTTAAAACCGAAAATTAAAGTAGCAAATGCTTAATACAAACATAAAACTAATTTGTACTTTTTTTTTGAAAATGCGATTTTTAATAGAAACAACAAAGGACAGGAAAATTATTAAATTTATTGCAAATGGGCAACCTTACTGCAATTGGCAACCTTACCCCAAAAATCGGAAAATTTGACCAGATGGGAGACTTGAACCACCCTTTGAAATTTAATCACATTTTTAATATAACAAAGCATTTATAGTGGTTAAAACGTGTTGGCCCCTTATACTTGGAACTGTAAAGTATATTGCCAAAATCTCTGCCACGTGGTAGAAACGGTTTTATTACGTGGAATTAACTAAAATGGGGAACACTTTTTTAGTGTCAGTAACGTGGAGGTATAGTGGCCAAAACTTAATCATAACTTTAATAATCTTTACTTTCCATCCCCGTCTCTTTCCAGCATATTATTTATCTTATTATCTTTGCTTTCTCTAACTGGATATTAAACTAACATTGAATGCAAATAATACCTAGAATTAAATTTTACTGTTAAACATGGGTATCAAAGCTTGAAATATAAGCATGCCCTGTTGAAATATGTAGTAATAAAAAAGAATTAAAAAAAATCTATAAACTTAGCGGATATAAAGATTATTTATTTAGAGGACTAAAATATTTTTTTTATTATTTCCAGTCACCTGAAACCAATAAATAGGTATTTCAAACAATGCCGTTTTCAGGCTTTTCTTACGGAAATTATTTACTTTTTTCTCCTAGAAACAGTGAAAGTTGGTAACTTAGTCCCTGATAGAAAATTTGATTTTAAGAATCTTCTAAGAAGATATGACCCGGAATAATGGAATATTCTTAGAACCTTCCCTTATTGCTAAGGATGTTCTTAGGGACTTTTAAAGCATTCAATAGATACCCTTTTAATGATGTAATCAAATTCTTAAATGCTTCTTAAAACCTTCCTAAAAAGCATCTTAAGAACATTTTAAGAATACGTTTTTGGAATGTTCTTAGAAGGTTTCTTATGGAGCTTCTAGGAAGCTATTGTATACTACATTCGTAAAATTCTTCAGGAGACGACAAATACGCCTTACTGTCATAATATGACAGTAAAATGTATTTGTCGTCCCCTTAAAAAATTTTGCGACATATTAATATATTATATATTATATTATATATTATATTATAATTATTTAAAAATATTTAATAAACAATTTGATCTCTAAACCATAAGTTGTATGACAGGAGGGAAAAATAATAATATATATATTACATTAAAATTTAAAATAAACATCAACTTTATATATATTGCAGGAAAAAAGAAATCTGAACAAATTGCTAATGATAACGACTACAACAAAGATATTGATCCAAGAGTGTCTAATAGCTTTGCTACAGCTGCCCTGAGGTCTCTTAACTCTCTAGTGGATGACAATGTTATGTAAGAAATTATTGATATTTTAAATTCTATATTAAAATTAATATATTATATTTTTAGTTTGTACGATGAAGAAAGAAAAGCGGAATCCGTTTTGGATTTAGAGAATCACTTTAACAAACCTGAAGTTATCTTGCAGAAAAATATGTTTGATAAGCTTCTGAGAAGCCTGAGTACCCAATTATGTCAAAAACAAGATGATAATTATGCTAACGATGTAAATATAACACCTTTAAGAGAATTCTTAAAATAAGAAACATGTTTTTTAGATTAAAAACCAACTCTACTTTAATGGTGTATTTGGATTGGATGTACTTAGTTTGGATATACAAAGGGGAAGAGATCATGGCTTAAGAAGTTATTTCCATTACAAAAATTTGTGTAGGCCTAAAGATAAGAAATATGAAAATTTTGAAGACGTTATGACTCAAAAGGTTAGTAAACAGTTACATTTTTAATTATCCACCCTTTAAAATTTAGAGTTATAGAGGGTTCCAAATGTTCACAAAAGTAAAAAGCAGGATCTTTTTTAAAAAATATTAGACTAAAAGTAAGAACCTTAAAAAATAGTTATTATTGGCCATTTAAAAGAGTCTTATAGACTTTTTTTTGTAAATAGATTTTATCAATAGAAAGTTATTTAAATTGTTTCTTAATTTTTAGCAAATGATAAATACGGGCCTTATATTTTATATTTATTGTGAATTTTGTGTTGTAAAAATATTATAATGCATATGTATAAACTCATGTTTGACAAAACTTTTGTATTGTATGTATTATTTTTTTTCATTTCAGGCTTCCAATTCTATAAAAAATATCTACGCTCACAGTAATGATGTGGATCTTATAGTTGGAGGATTGTTAGAAAAACCCGATGAAGATGCTCAAATAGGACCAACGTTTTCGTGCATTATAAGCGATCAAATGTATAGAACAAAAGTAGGCGACAAGTACTTCTACAAAAATAGAAACCAGCCAAAACCATTTACTCCTAAAAAAGTTAAAGAAATTGAAAAAACTTCGCTTGCCAGAGTAATCTGTGATAATTCTGACAATATACAGATGATGCAACCGAACGCGTTTAAACACATCAGCCAAAAGTAAGTTTGTAATAATAAATATTCCTTATTTTTGATTTTTTAATATTTTTTAGGAACAATTTGATTAACTGCAATGATTTGCCCAAAATGGACCTACTAAAATGGATAGTATAAAACAACATTTCACTCAAATTTTGGAAAAAAAATATTTGAATATTTTGATTTATATTTTTATTAGGTATCTTAAGAACAATTAAAGGGGTTGATGGATAAAAAGGTTAACTAATATTTTCGTGTCAAGCACTACGTTTTTGCATAGCACAAATATTTTAGTTAATATTTAATATTTTAATTAACCCCTATAATAATTTAAAAAAACATAATTTTCTAGAAGATATGTTTACAAGACTGATATTTATGGCTGTTTTAAAGTATTCCATTATACAATATTTTTAGGTTTCTTTTAATGTATATGTACTTATTGTACTTATGACAAAGTAATCTTTGCTTTATGACATTTTTACATTGTTAAAAAAGACTTTAAGGTCTTCTTGCTTTTATGAAATTTTTAAAATACTTAAGTTTATTTTATAGAGTATTTATATTTATTAATAAGATATATAACATTCTGTTTACTGTTTTATTTATATAAGGTACGAAATTCCATTGAGAAATATTGACTGAAAATTTGAGAATTTTGGGTATATTGTACATTTTTAATCTTAGAAGTATACTTAAATTTTGTCTTTGCTGTAATTTTTACTCACCCTAAAAGTGGTATTTTTATAGAAGTTAAGATTTTTGTGACAACTTAATTTAAAAAAATACTTCATTATTATAAAAAATTGATAGGTATTACTAGTTGTGCAACTTAAAAAACAAATGTGTAAATACGTTACAATTTAATCCACATGAAAAATTAATTTAAATTATAAATATATTCTTTCTCCATCTTAAAAGTACAAACGCTTGCAGATATTTGGTATTTACTTCAATTCTAGATCGAATTTTAATTAAGAAAGATCAAGATTAAGCGTCTTGAACTGTGGAAAAAATTGACCCCTTTTTCCACAGGTTAATTTACAATTTTTTTACGATTATTGTTTTTTTTTTAATAAATAACACCAGTAAATTAACACCTGTGTTTGTAGCAATTAATTAATAAAAGTATAGTAATCGAATGAATGAGGATATCTTATCCTCTGAACTTTTTTCAATGGTTTAACAATATACTATAGTTGAAGGGGTAAGAAGCAAAAGGATACAAGTGCAAAAAAGAGAAGTGGAGTTATTAACTAAAGTTTTTGCTATTAACAAAAATCTGGATACTTGTTTTAATGTTTGCATTAATCAACATGCAGACCTCGATTAATTTTTATAAGAAAATTAATTAGAAGCCTGTCCAAATTTCATACTAAACTGCGCACCACTCAATGTGTCGCGACCAAAAAGTTCGTTCTTTTTCAAAACGACATAACTTTTTTGTTTCTTGAACGATTTTATTTTGGTTTGTGATGTCTGCTAGCCTCATCCTCTGGCAATTTATGCTATAGATATGAAGCTCACGGTTGGTCAAGTAAATTTCCTACAGGGTGATATGTTAAACGGTGAAAAATTTCAATAATTTTATCCAAGCCCCGTTTGTAAAAAACTAAAAAAAATTTCGTTTTTACTTTGATATAATGAAGTATTATGTGTTACCTTGAAACGTTTTTAAAATTTTTCGAATTGGAATCTTAGCAACGAAAATATGATTTTTTTTTCAAAAGAGTATATTTAAGGCTTTTTTTAGGCAATACACTCAGTCTTTTTAGGAACAAGAAGATAAGATGGTGAAAGATTGTTCCTTAAATAATTCTGAACAAGCGACAAGTAACAAACTTCCATTATTTTCAGAGGGCCTAAGCTAAGACCACTTTTTGAAAATGACATTTTTGTAAAGTTTGCAGAAACTAAACCTAAACCGATATTTACTTTCGTAATATGTTTTCTTCATAATTTTGACCTCCTGATTGTGATTCAGTTGTCAAATTTAAGTTTCAGATAAAACCAAAATCACTAAGAATTAAGATTCGAAAACAATTCCCGGCTGCTAAATGTGTCAATAAAATCCGATTGCGAAAGTAAATATCGGTTCAGATTTAGTTTTCGCAAATTTTCACCAAAATGTCATTTTGAAAAAGTGGTCTTTGCTTAGGCCCCTCTGAAAATATTGGAAGTGTGTTGCTTGGCTTGTTCAGAATTATTCAAGGAACAATCTTTTACCATCTTATTTTCTTGTTCTTAAAAAGACTGAGTATATTGGTAACACATAATACTTCATTATTTCAAAGTAAAAACGAAAAAAAAAATTATTGTTTTACAAACGGGCCTTGGATGAAGTTATTGAAATTTTTCACCGTTTTACATATCACCCTGTAGGAAATTTACTTGAAGAACCGTGTGCTTAATATCTATAGCATGAATTGCCAGAGGATGGGGTTAGCAGACATCACATACCAAAATAAAATCGTTTAAGAAACAAAAAAGTTATGTCGTTTTGAAAAAGGACGAACTTTTTGGTCGCGACACATTGAGTGGTGCGCAGTTTAGTTTGGTATAACCATTTTAAAATATTTACAAAAATGGCGAATGCGCCGGGATAATGATTTTTAAGGTTGTGATTTAAACAGTAAAGCAATTTTTTGATTTTTGGGAGGCTATAATTGGGCAGCAGAATATGAATAAAAATACGAATAAGTTTATTTACAATAATTATTTAAAGAATGGTATAAGGAATTTAAAACAAAAAACATTACTGTAACAAATATAAATGCAAAACGTTATAATATAAAAAATAAATACATAATTTATTGTTATCTTACACCAAAACAAATATTAAAAGGGCTAAAAACTTTTTTAAAGTACCTATATATCACATTTTCCATAAATAAACTATTTAGTGCCGCTTTAAAATGCTTGTTTTTCAAAGGAATGTTGAGTATTATTTACTCAGTTCTTTGGGATTCTTACCATTTTTTTAAATCTTGTTTCGTGACCAGTGTTAGTGTGATCCTCAAAGATTTTTGGATTTTTGTAGACACAAACAAGACAGGTAAGTATAAAACAGCGGGTATGGTGAATATTTTAAACTTTTTAAAGAGTGGGCGATAAGATGTTTGGCGACTCACTCTGGCTATTGCTCTTATAGCCCTTTTTTGTTGCAGTAATATTTTGTTTGCTTCTGAAGATCCACCCCATATTAAAATTTCACAGAAAGCCTTGCTATGGAAGTGGGCGTAATACTTAGTTACTGACGCGTCTCCATTAACAATACTTCGTATTATTCTTAAACTGCGCACCACTCAATAGTTATTTTCGCGGAGCTAATCCGGAACTAATTCCAGACATCCTAGGCATGCGCTTTTTAAAATTTGGGGTCAAAAATGTAAAGTGCGCATGACAAATATTAAAATGCGCATGCCTAGGATGTCCGAACTAGTTCGGGATTAGCACCGCGAAAACACCTAATGTGTCGTGACCAAAAAGTTCGTCAGTTTTCAAAACGACATAACTTTTTTGTTTCTTTAACGATTTTATTTTGGTCTGTAATGTCTGCTAGCCCCATCCTCTAGCAATTCATGCTATAGATATGAAGCTCACGGTTCTCCAAGTAAATTTTCTACAGGGTGATATGTTAAACGGTGGAAAATTTCAATAATTTCATCCAAGCCCCGTTTGAAAAAAGAAATATTTTTTCTAGTTTTTACTTTGAAGTAATGAAGTATTATGTCTTACCTTGAAACTGTTTTCAAATTTTTCGAATTGGAATCTTCGCAACGAAAATATGATGTTTTTTTCAAAAGAGTAGATTTAAGGCTTTTTGGTAGACAATACACTCAGAACAACCAGATAGACAAGCAACAAATTTCCATTATTTTCAGAGGGGCCTAATCAACGACCACTTTTTCAAAATGACATTTTGGTGAAAATTTGCGAAAACTAAACCTGAACCGATATTTACGTTCGTGAGATGTTTTCTTTATAATTTTGACCTCCTGATTGTGATTCAGTTGTCAAATTTAAGTTTCAGATAAAACCAAAATCACCATGGTGATTTTCTTGCAAGAATCAAAATTCGAAAACAATTCCCTGCTGTTAAATGTCTTAATAAAAACATATTGCTTTCTTTTTGTGTGGTTGGGATAATATTACATAACCTAATTAGGTTATGTAATATTAATTAATTAATTAATTAATTGTTAATAAAAGTTAAATAAAAATATTTTTGTTAATTTTTTAAAATTTTATGCGAAGTTATAATCATAATCAAAAACATTCAATAGAAAAATGTAACAAACAATAACAATAATAACTTTTAATCTTTTGCGAACCGTTGATTTGGAGATGTTAATTCCCGTAGCTGCAGCAAAGTCTGGCATTGGCATTTTAATCAATTAAACTTTAAATGGTTAAAATGCAAATGCCAGACTTTGCGCAGCTACGGGAATTAACATCTTCAAATCAACGGTAAATTTTAAAGAAAGAATGGAAGTAACATTGATAAGATAGGGGTAGGTATGTAGGTAGGAAGGTAAAACTTATGCAAACAACTTCGAAATTTGGAAAAACACAAGCAAACTGAAAAAATAATGCGTTTTAGATGTTTTTCAAGAACTAATTTTCATCATTTGATCCTCGATTTTATTATTCAGCGACATGATAATAACGTACTAAAGATGCAAAACACAGTAAAAACAGTAAAAACCATGGCTGCAGCAATCGTATTTTATTGAGAAATTTAACAGCCGGGAATTGTTTTCGAATCTTGATTCTTGGTGATTTTGGTTTTATCTGAAACTTAAATTTGACAACTGAATTACTATCAGGAGGTCAAAATTATGAAGAAAGCATGTCATGAACGTAAATATCAGATTAGTTTTAGTTTACGCAAATTTTTACCAAAATGTTATTTTGAAAAAGTGTTCTTTGCTTAGGCCCCTCTGAAAAGAATGGAAGTTTGTTGCTTGTCGCTTGTTCAGAATTATTTAAGAAACAATCTTCCATCATCTCCTCTTCTTATTCCTAAAAAAACTGAGTGTATTGCCTTCAAAAAACCCTTAAATCTACTCTTTTGAAAAAAAATCATATTTTCATTGCTAAGATTCCAATTCAAAAAAATTGAAACCTGTTTCAAGGTAAGACATAATACTTCATTATTTCAAAGTAAAAACGAAAAAAAAATATTTTTTTACAAACGGGGCTTGGATGAAGTTATTAAATTTTTTTACCGTTTAACATATCACCCTGTAGGAAATTTTCTTGAAGAACCGTGAGATTCATATATATAGCATGAATTGCAAGAGGATGAGGCTAGCAGACATCACAGACCAAAATAAAATCGTTTAAGAAACAAAAAAGTTATGTCGTTTTGAAAAAGAACGAACTTTTTGGTCGCGACACTTTGAGTGGTGCGCAGTTTAGATAGCCGATGACAGCTTTTTCGATAGTTCTTCAATATGTAGAGACGAGTTAAGACTAGTATGTTAACGTTTTGTTTTTTAATAAATTTAGTGTTTTGTATATTAAGTTGCAATCCATTT